CTTTCATGGGCAGGAGAAATTATTCCATAAATTAGTAATAATGATGGGTCCATAAGCTAAAATTACAAATGCAAAAATCCACCTCATCAAGATGGTTGGGAAGTCTGATTAGGATAATTAGGATAGATATTTAGTTCAAACTTTAAAGTTCACATGTGATTAGGATTAGAATAATTAGGATAGCCTTTTAATAGTTTAAACTTTAAAGTTTGTGTCAGATTAGGATTAGGATATAATTAAAATGTAATATCGAGAAGGGTTAAGGATATTTTTGTCTACCAAAATTTTTTTAGAACTCGTTCTTTTAAAACGAGTATGATATGATATGATATCTTCTATATTGAATATTTTTTTGAGTTGAGCTACCTACTATTAATAATAGTCAACTTGTGAATATTATTGACTTAATTTTAAAATTTCGAGTTCGAAATTGAAAATCTAAAGTGGTGAAAGGGATCTACTACACATGAATTATCTAGAAATAAAATTTTAAAGCTTTGGCATTAACCCATACCTGATATTGATCATTATATTCTTATTACACTTTTATATCCTTATTATCCATTTTATTTAATCAAATATATCACTAATAACATGTTTTTCTCTTAAATTACAGAGAAAGAAGAATTATTGAATAAGAGCTCAAGTGAAGATTATTTTGAGCCCACAAAAAACTTTAATGAAGCTCAGAATGTCTAAATTCAAAGCCCACTACTAAGTTTAGAAGCAAAATTTCAGCACTCATCAATTTCTTGGTCAGTAATTATTAATAACTTATCCTGCAATTAAGAATCAGATTAAATTTGAAAAAAAATAAAGTTAAGATGATCAATTATAAAGAAAGGCAATATCTCTCAATCCAGAAAACAGAATTCAACATGAAAATAGCCTATCTCAACGAGACGGAGCCATCCGGATTAGCAGATTCCAAAAATTTTATCAACAACAATAGATTATGATAGAATTTTATATTTAATTGATATTTATTTAATTATTTGAAGCCCAAGCTAAATTCTAAGAGGCCCAAGAATATTTAAGAAAAGCCCACAAAGCCTAACTCTCAAGTATCGAATCAAGGGTATGAAATATTTTGAGATATCCTATGATTATGAGGGTTACTTGGTGGCCTAAGTCAAATCCTATGGTTGTGATAGTTACTTGGGGTCCAACACAAATCTAAGGATTGTGAGAGATTCCTATTATCTAAAAATAGAGGGGTAGAGTGAGGGTTTGAGGGTTTGAGGGTATGAAAAATTTTGTAAAGACCTATAGTTGAAGAGGAGAGATACTCTTGATTGAGAAGACCGTTTAAATTGTAAACTTTATTTACAATTAATAAAAACATTTTTCACCTTTTAAATTTTCTTTTCTCTTTCTTTGTTGATGGAGATGAAGATGAAGATTTGCTTTCAAGAGGCCAACCCCCTTGCGATGTAAGTTTTTTTTCTTTTTTGTTTTCTTTCTTTAGAAACTCATGTTTTATGATTTTATTTTGCTAGATTAGATTAGATTTACTTTCGTGCTCTTTTATTTTGTGTTGTTATTTTCTTATATTTTTATAGTATAGATTTACTTTTACGCTCCTTTATTTTCTTATATTTTTCTTTAGTAGTGTAGATTTACTTTTATGCTTTTTTATTTCTGTTAGTTAGATTTTCTTTATGCTCCTAATTTAGATATTTATTTCTTTATTCTTCTTCTTCTCTTTATAGTTAGTTTTTATTTTTATTCTCTTTCTTTTATGCTTTTTAGCCTAGATTCTATTTTCTTATTTTTATTTTTCAAAATGTGTAATTAAATCTTATAGGAATTTTAAAATAGTATGAAACTAATTTGATTTTTTTTTTATGATTTATGGATTGCTCTCTTGTGTTCAAAATGATCATGTTTAGGATAATCAATTAGAGAACTAATTGGTAGAAGAAGAATTTCATAATCTACGCTTATCTTGAGTGGTTTGATAGGTAATGCTTATGAAGTCTAGAATTACTATCTAATTATTATTCTTTTCATGAATGATAATTTTACTTGGATGATAATTTAATAAGTTATGTTTTCCTTGAGTAGTTTGATAGTCTATATTTAATAAATTTAAAGTAAAATATGATAAAAAAGAGAGCAGTTCAAAAATTCTAAATGAAATCAATTAGTGGATTCAATTATAGATTTTTATCTTATCTACTTGAATTTTCCTCCATCTTACTTGCATTGATTTTGCTCTTTGTGATTATTTTATTTTTGATTTTGTTATTTTCTATTTTGTTTATTATTTCCCCCTTTGTTTGTTCTCATTTGCTTTTATTGTCAATTTTTCTTCCCTCTTGTTCTAGTTTTCTTTCATGTATAAATAATTGCACACTCTTTATATCTATCTACACTTTTACTTCTAATTGTCTACACACAAATCTATGAACCAATTTAGACTTTTTTCGACACACATTCCTCATAGGATCGACATTGTGCTAATACTATAACTTGATTGTGCACTTGCAATTTTAACACATATTCACAACACATCACATGTGTCATTAAAATCAATGTTGCAGAATTTTCATAAGTTGTCTATTTTTTTACCTCTTAAAACACATCAAAATCCTTTAAATTTTTATTTGTAAATAATTTAAATATAGTAGAGCACATCCATGGGGTTGGATTTAAATTTTCATACTGCTAATTTTGAAATTGGATTGATAATATTTACAAACTAAATACTTTTTTTATAGTAGTCTAGCTTAAGTTTCTCCTTCAAAAAAAAAAAAAAAACAGAATT